TCATACTAAGAGCTGCTCAACAATAACATACGGTAAATCTACATTTTTATTCTAGAATTTATGTCACAATTTGAAATGTGAATCTTAACAATTTAGTGTAGAATTTCCTGCTTGCAAAATAAAATTTTGTATCAACATTATTCATGTCTGTTATCTCATCATTTCAAAAGTGAATGCACACCTTTTCAAATGCAGTACAGGAAGTGGCTGCCGTAAACGGGAGACAGAAGAAACCTCGGACAGACACCACGTTTCGCAATATAAATAAGATTATTGCATTGATAGAAAACTGATCAGTTATTGGCTGGGGACTTAACTGGGTTGCTGTGTTGATCTCAGGAAACCTAAAAAAAACCTTTCATGACCAATTGCATGCTAATATATACTGATGATGCACACTTCACCATTTCTAGAAGTGCCAACATGTGCAACTGCATGATCTGGACAGAAACTAATCCACGTGTAACATTTCCTACACACCTCCATGTTGTTAATGTGATATATGGTGTGGTTTCATAGCTTTGTTATTAAACAATACTTTTTAGAAGAACCATCACCAAATGGACTGCACAGTCAATGCTTCATGGAATTATGCAATGCTCAAACTAAGGTGATTTCCATGTTGTAACAATAAAATGCGAGAAACACTAGTTTTCATGCAGGATAGTAGCCCTCCTCAAACTGGCAAGCAGATGAAATACATCTTGTGAGAGTACTTTCAGGACAGATTAATTTCATGTGATTGATCAGACATCAGGTCATAGTGGTGCCCCTGGTGGCAAAATGAGACAACTCTGGCATTTGCATGTTATTCTTAACACCCTTGTGTAATTTCATCTCCTATGCCATATCGTTAGTAATATAAGATGTGTTGAACTGCAAAACTAGACTTGTTGTGCAGGGCCATAATATGGTATTGTTTGTCTATAAAAGCTTGAATTTGAGCGTGTTACTGCAACAGTACGATAAGCATTAAATTATATTACCTCTAAAAACAACTTTTTCTGTATATTACAGCAAATCTCATGAATAGCTTGGGTGACCTTAAAGTCTGAAAATTCTCATCCCTAAAGTAACTTCAAGAGCCTGAAGCACACCTATATATCCTAACTATTTCTTTTTAAATGGATGTCATTATCAAGTATCAAATATACTTGACTGAATTTCTTTAGAGGCACTAAGAGTTAACAAAACATTTTGCATGAGTTCAAAAATAGCAAACATTATAACAATGCTACAGAAATAACAAGTTAATGGTACCATTATGGTATTCTAGCAGTACTATTAACTTATCATTGATGTTTCAATTTATTTTCTAAACCATCACAGAAGTAATCATATCTCACCTCTAGTGGATTTATATGTTTATAACGCTTAATCACACGTCCAGATTCACAGTCAATTAGGCATACCAAATTTCCACCACAAGTAGCCACTGTATTGGTCAGGCTACCTAATTATAGAAATAAATGCTCATATACAAAAAAACAACAAAAAAACATGCTTTTTGAGATGTTTAATAAAGTTAAAGACATTGATTTACGCATGTTCCATACATCTTTTCTCTCTTTTATTGGATACAATAGATTCATTAACAAATATCTTTACAGAGTTATCTACTATTATGTTGCACACAGTGCAAAAAAATTCTTTTGACCTCAACAACACCTTGACAAAAACAAGCAAGTGCAATACTTTTTATTCAAAAGTTAACTTAAAATATTATATTCACCATTTGAGTTTTATATACGAGAAGTAAATAACATCTAATTCCTTTATAGGTAGGCTTAGTATTATAATTATATGATATTTCTGTGTCATTACAGCAATCTTAACCTTATGAACCCAGGCACTCTCTTTAAATTCCTTTCTACACATTAAAAAGTGTTACTCAGTTGCATTCAAAATTTAATTAAACCAATTTATTATCAATGTATTTTAATGAAATTATTATTACCAAGTACGCTATAGTATAAAGTTTTATATTATCTTAGTTTTTATTCCTTTATTTCAAAAGAAACATAAAAAGCAATAACAAAAACTTTCTCATTTTGTTGTCGCAAAGGATAAGTAGCCACTCAACTGTAATCCTATACAGTTATGTCTAGACACTAATATATATTTATGTGCCCTACTGACGCACGTGTTTAAAATTTCTTTGGCTCAATGTAGTAGAAACAAGTAAAATATTCTGTCAGTAGCTGATGTGTGCCACACCCACCTTCTATACTTAGCCTTTAGCTTTGTGTAGTAAGTACATATAGATTGTACACATGTTTATAATTGTTAGAAAGAACTCATTTTATACTTTTATCCAACAACAGTTATTTTGAAATTGGCACCAAGTTGTCATCATTGGATGATGCAACTACTTGTACTATTGTTGGCAGATGTTTCGTACCTAAATATGTTAGTTAGTAAGACAGTAAAATTGTACTTAGGTTTCACTTTTACATTTTAGTTAATTATACATTATCTATGTTTTGAAATTCATATCTCAAAAGGTTTAATAAATTGTTAAATATATTTTTATGTAACCTTCGCTCCACAAGTTTTAGAACACAAAGCATGTACAAATCAATTCTGCCAGAGGCTAAAGTCTCTCTGCCGTTCATACCATTCTATCGACTACAGGTACCCATTTACATGTGTGCACATAAATAATTAACAGTAAATCACAGTAAAGAAAAAGAAAATATTAAAATTAAACTATCAGTGAAAAGGTTAAAACATGAAATTACACATATAAAACAAAAGATATTTTAAGGCTATTCTACGAATGTAAGTACATATTTCCATTTCTTAATTTGAAATATTTCATCAAACTGTACATTGATGACAATAGCTAGAGTTAGTGATATAGTAGAGAAAATGAAAAATTAAATAAATAATTACATTTTAAACCTTTTGATATTCATGTAGGAGTTTCTAGAGATTATGCAAATGAAATGTGAATACTGTATGATAATGAATAGTATTTTTATACTCAACATGAAAATCACCTTGCAGGTGAACTTTTCAGAGTCTGAGTGCAAATAACTAAATTAAATAACGAAAACAGTAGAAAAAATCAAAATTAAATGTTTTATTTTTCAGAAACTACATATTTTTAGGAAAGTTCTTGTCAAATTTCAACTAATTTTATCCACTAGTTTTATTTTTGAAATAAAATATAACAATGTTTGATCTTCACAATATAAGGACCCAGTGACCATAGGGTTAAGTACCTTGAACAAGTAAACCAATTCTTGATATCATAAATAAAAGCATTTTAATGCATTATTTATGTACCTTTGTAAACTAACCTTTGTTAAACACATCAGGCTCAAAAGCTGATCTCCAAACTTGTGTCTCAGAATCCTCTGGATCATTGTTTCTTGAGTGACACCTCAAGAATATATGGGGTGCAAAATTTGAAGGTAGCTGGTGCAAAAACAAATAATTAGCTTCCAAAAATTACTCCCTAATATTAAATTGTCTAAAGAAAATTTCTACACATATTATATGTCAAGAATATAAATACTAAACAAATAGTATAAAGAATGTTAAATAAATAATTTATCATTACAGAACTAATGTGCTACAAATCACAAAATAAACAAAATATATTTCATATAAAAATTGTTACCCGACAACGTTTCTTTTTCTCTGCAGTTTCAGATGTACCATCCCTTTGTTTTTGAGGTGAATATTGTGGTTCCTGTTCATATAAGTTGTATTTTTGTGAGGATTTTACTTTTTCTAACAACAAAACAGACTGTTTTTCTGGGGTTGTTTTGTGCTTAGCTAGTTTGTAAGACTCTTTTTCATGGGAATGAACTTTTATTTTCTTCTGAGGAGAGGCAGTGACAGCTTTAGGTGTTTGCTCAACATTACTGATAGACTCTTTCTCAGGAGAACTGGGGAAAATCCTTTTTTTAACAGGGGATCTTGAAGTTTTTACAGATAATAAGGTTGTCTCTGAATGGCTAGAACTACCTGCTTGTACACGTTGTCCCTTGGAAGGGGTTACTTTTTTCTTACTTTTTTCTCTAGCAGTAAGAATCAAAGCTGTGGCAATTGATTCAACCTGAAAAAATAATAATTTTTAGACTTTCTATTATTAAAGTAAAAAAAAATGAAAAGTAATTACAGAAAGCACATAGAGACAGTAAAAGAAAAACAGATACTTAGAGAAGTATAAATAAAACCATAGATAAATTCAGTTTCCTTCAATGTGATTTCACTATTATTTATTCCAGGAATCAGAACAACATAGCTGTAATAAATACTCCTAAAAATTTGTAATATGGGTGAGTAATTACATAGGAAAAAAAACTAAGAAGAGAATTTGCCATATTGTTTTATGCATAATTAAACAAAAGTGTTATGAACTCCTATTTATTTTTCATTCTTCTAAAAAAGCTGTAACATACTGTCTGTCCCAAAATGTTGTCAAGAAATTTTATGATTACTTTGTTCATGAATAAGTTCAACATTTTTTCTAATTTTCTAATGTCTTCAAGATATTATCTGTATTTATGTTTTATCCTAAAAGTGAGGTGAACAGAGACAAAAACACCAAGAGAGGTTTTATAGTTATTTTTAAACAATGAGGACATCACATATTGAATACTGTTGTTCCAATAGCTAAACTTTAAAATTTTGCTAAATTAAATTCTGAAGAACTGCAAGACACTAGTTATATACAAAGTTTGACTTTTACTTTTCATGTCAAAAGTAGTGTTTTCTATTAGCATAAAATTAAAAGTATTAGGTTGTCAAGAAATGAATGTAGGTTTTTAGACGAAAAAACCCATACAACTTATATATCAAAACAAAACATTTATTAAATAAAATAGTCTTTATTCTTATTAATGATGCTTTTCCATCTAACAATCAGGTTGTTAATGGCCTGATTAAAGAAATCACTTGGCTTTGAAGCAAAAAAAATGTTTATGTCCTCTTTATCACCTTCCACATTAAGATGGTGTTGCAGTGAATGATAAAGATGGTGCCGTACCTGGAGAATATGGTGGGTGGGGAAGAACTTCCCAACCCAACTCCATAATCTTGTGTTGCATCAAATGTGCCACATGTGGACATGCATTGGCGTAGAGAAGAACACCTTTCCGATTGACGAGTGAAGGACGTTTCTGATGAAGGGCTTGATTTAAACATTCTAGTTTCTGACTACTGATCTCTGCATTGACATTTTGCTGTAGATTGAGGAGTTTGAAATGAATTACTCCTTTGATGTCCCACAAAATGCAAAGCATCACTTTCTGAGGTTGGAAGTGGTTTTTGTCTAGAACTGAGCCATTGTTTTTGGCATTTAATATTCGCATGGAGAATCCATTTATCATCACCGGTGACAATTCTATCTAAAAATGGTTCATGCACTTTACGTGTCAGAAGAGACGAAGTAACATTCACACATTGGAAACGATGATTATTGGAGTGTTCGTGAGGCACCCAAACACCTTCTTTTTGGATTTTCCCATATTCCTTAGATGTTTATTTATTGCTTCATGAGAGACGTGCAATTTCAGGGCCATTTCATGAGTGTGTGTGTTGCCTTGGGTTAGACTTAACAAGCATCTTCAGAGCATCAATATCAATTCCAACGTGACGACCCCTGCTGTCACAGTTTTTAAGGCTAAAGTCACCTGAACGAAATTTGCTGAACCATCGTTGACACTTACGATTGTTCAAAAATTTCCATAAACTTCTTTGTTATTCTTTGTAGCTACAGAAGCATTGTTTCCCTTCTTGTGTTCAAACAGCATTACATGCTGAATGTGTGTTTCGTCGTGTGCCATCACTACAAGGGATTAGAGTATACTAAACTTTAAACATTATATAGGTAACACTAACGTGACGTTTAAGCAGTTCATTTAACTATTATACGTGATGTACGTTTTTTTGGGGATGGTTAATAAAATTGTTCCAAAATGCGAATAATTTCTTGACGACTTAATATATTTCCAAAAAACATTTAATATGCTATTGAAATTTGTTTTTGTAGACTGCTTACCTTGTACCTTTTAAACTTTTCTGGAGCCTCATAACAATGAATTGGAGTTCGTCGAAGCTGACGTACCATTTGTTTTAAAAGATCTTGAACATCTTCTTCAGAACATTCAGAATTTATCTGATTAGCAAAGTATTCCTCCCATACCCTAATCACCTACATATGTAAAAAAAGTTGTTTAAATTTAGTAACAATGTGTAAAAGGAAAACCATTTTACTGTTACAGTTTACTACCTTGTATACACTAAAATAATTATAGCTTTTGTCAAGGGAAGATGATTTCTTAATGTTCAAAAGAAACTTGTTTCAAATGTAATGAATTATTCAAACTTTTGTTACTTTTACATAAAGGTACCTATAATACAGCATATATCAATCTATTGGAATTATTATTTCCAGTCCTCATAAAGTATACATTAATGTGTCATACTGAAATAAAACTGAAATGAACATTATGAAATACAATGCTACGTATAAAAAAATAAACATGAGAACATTTAAAACTTACTGTGAGTGCCTTATTACATGCAATATCAGTCATGCATATCTTATAATAGACTAGGGATTTGGATATTTTTGGATCAGATAGTGGATGCTGTCATATATATTGAAAATAAACTGCAGGTAAGTTATAATCATTAAATTAAGAGTAATATGTGTGTGTATGCATGGGAAGCTTTTTAAACTTCACAAAACTATGCAAAAATGAAATTAGGAGTGTGAAAGTATGACAATATCATCATGTGTTAAAGGGAGAGATGGGTATAGACCAATGTTTCTTAACCTTTTTTTTGTTCAAAACCCCTCTACACAGACTTCAATTTCCACAGCACCCCTAACATTTTATAGCCAAGTTAACAGTGGCTTAGCTATAGGGGGTCATAGAAAAAACAATATTTTGCTAAACTGTGGGACACCCCAGTTGAAAAACACTAGTGTAGACAGTACTAGGCATTGCTTAATAAAAGGCATTTGGAGAATGGATTTATCATCTCTTAGGGCCCCTTCTCAGACAGCATTACTTATATTGTAAGGTTTTGTATATAAATCTCATCATTTGTTTATAGACACTTAGAACACCGGTACTGTCACTCTGTTGAGTTTAATACTTTCTCCCAATACCTAGGTTTTGAAAGTGTTGTTAGATCTGGTGTATTTTACTAACTGAGTCTATCAGTGTGTCATTTTCAATCAGACATTTCAGCTCAAAGCATCTTTCATACCAGAAGTGTTTGATGAGCATCACATGTTGTGGAACAGGTTTAACTCTCTCACTACATGCTCAGTCAATTTGACCGAGTTCGTAACTCCAAACTGACCTTTAGAGTTTCCATACTATAACTTTTAATATGTTTTGTGTATCTTCATGAAATTTTGCAATCTTTCAATAATATTTCAATAAACAAGAATTTTTAATGAACTATTTTTACTAAAGATTTCTCCATAAATATATGGAGTTATAGTGTTGGCTGCTCTAAGTGCAAAATTATTTTCATGTTAAGATTAAAAATACTTTTCACTTAATGTAAGAAAACATGAATGAGATGATGCTGGGAAGGAGTCAAGGTGGAATAGGCCAGCTTGATCAAATGTCGGACCCAATTGGTCAGGGTAGCCGGGAAAAAATCACAGGAAGAGGAAGGGTTCCTAGGGATAAAAAAACAGAAACAAGGACCCCGGAAGGAAGCCATGCAAGCAATAGAACAATGGAGGGCACAGACAGGACAGAGGAGTCTATCCTGATCAGGATGAGGATAGGGATGAGATATAGAGGATAGGCAGATAGGGGAAAAAGGAGACTTAGCTTATTGAGCCACAGAGGTCTTGGGAATGAAAACATGGTCCAGATAAAGGATTAGGTAAGAGGAATGATACACGGTCCTGGTAACAATAAGGCCAAAAATATCCGACCTATGATGTACGCAGGCCAAGAGGAGGAGGAAATACACTTTCAAAGAAAGGTGAAACAGGGAACACATAGACAGAGGATCGAATGGAGGTAAAGTGAGTGGAAGAAGGACCATATCAATGTCCCAGTCTGGGAGCAACTGACACCTTGGTGGTTGATGGAGCCGGAATAAATAAATCAACATAGAAAGGTCAGGGAAAGGACACCCTATGGAAGTGGGAAAAAAGGGAAGGTATGGGATAACGCCACCTGAAACCTCGAAATTGAGGAGATCGAAGAACTCTTCTAAAAGAGCCATGTGAGAAACTTGGAGATACAGGCAGCCATTGGGTGAGAAGCCTAGAAACCTTGAGTCAATGCCCAGGAGTGATAAATGCTCCTTTGCGTTAATAGACAGCCAAAGAAGAAGGGTGATTGGAACAGGCTAAATGTGAAGCTACTCTGTGAGAGAAACTGGAACTCCTTGCTAAGGACTTGACAAAAGCTAGGTGTGAAGACAGAGGATGGATGGTACGGGATGGAGCACTGGTGATTGGAGTTGATGGAGCAGGTCGGGACTGAAGGGAAGAGGATAGAACCACCTGCAGTTGGAGCAATCGAGGAAACCAAGGTTGAGCAGGCCAGTAAGAAGCAACCAGAAGGACTGTGCATGAAGTGGCATAGATGAGGGAGACCTTCTGAAGAAGTAAATGGATGGGAGGGTAAGCATAAAGGAACAGATAACATCAATTCTGGCTAAAGGCATCGACAGCCAAGGCTCAAGGATTGGGAACTAGGGTCTAGGTCCCAAAACCGAGGTAATTTGTGATTGAGAACAGTGGCAAAGGCATCAATATGGGGCATACCCAGATGCAGACAGAGCCACTGAAAAATGGGAAATACGATTAGTTAGGAGATGGAAAGCACCCAGTATATGACACACCATCAAATGATTGTGATGCTTGTGGGTCCAAAAAAGAAGATACATAGTGTAAAAACCTAGAGATCTGGACCTGATACCACTTGGTGATTTTTGGAATGGATCATAACCAGCTGGTGGCTGGCAAGAGAAAGGAATTGATCCAAAGCCTGATGAACAGCCAGGAGTTTGAAAAGAGAACTCTCATCCATACACCAATGACCCTAAACCTCTTGGTGATCCACCCAGGCACCCCATCCCTAAAGAGATGAATCCGTGAACAGATGTAAATCTGGCTGCAGAGAAGTTAGCGGGACCTCTGCCAATGTGTAGGCTCTATTCAACCAAGTAATGGAGATCATCTACAAGGGATGAGGGAAGGGATATAGAAATATCCAAGGAATCTCAGTGAGGATCCATTGATCATGAAGAACCCACTGAAGTAACTGCATATGAGCCCTGCCCAGAGGTATGAGAGTGGTCATGGAGGAACACATCCCAAAAAAGCAATAGAACCTCACGAGCTGTAAGTGAGGGGACCGACAAGGCTTTCTGAATGGCTCATTCCATAGAATGGGGCTGGAAAGGAGAAGGTTGGGTCTGACTGAGATGAGTGTTGAAGAAAACACCCATATGGATATGGTATTGGGGAGGACAAAGGAAAGACTTCTCCTATTTGACCAACCAGCCCACCCATGCAGCTTCAGCCAGGAGCTGACGAGTGGGACAGGTTAATTTCCATTCAGAATGAGCAAGAAGAAGCCAGTCGTCCAAATAAACAGAGAAGCACAACCCCATGGAATGAATATGTTGAGCAAAGAAACAGACCACATGACAAAACACACATGGTGCAGAAGCTAGGTCAAAAGGTAAAGTGTGAAAATGGTATACAACCCCCAAATTGACAAACCGAAGATATGGACAGGAACATTCCACCACAGGAATGTGTAGGTAAGTATTGGAAATGTCCACCTTGGTCATCCAAAGACCTGGAGAAAATGCCCACCAAAGAGAAAGGTATGTCTCCATGGTAAAGAAAGGAGTGTGAACATACTGAATGAGACAGGATACCAGTTACCAGTCTTCTTAGGAACCACAAAGAGGCAGGAGTGAAACCCCTGTGAACTGGTTCGAAAGCCTGTTGTGCAATGAGGTCCTGACCACCTCTGACAAATGCTGAAGTGTCGAGGATTCCCAAAGAGAAGGGAATGGGAACACCGCATAATAGAGGAAGGGAGAGAAAAGGTATAACAAATCCCTTCAATAGCACCTTGTGAACCCAGAAATCGATGAGAAAAGGTACCCACAGATGAATGATATTCAACAGGGAAGTCCCCAATGTACCCAAACAGACCACATGGTCACTGGTACTGCTGTTGGCGGATCATAAGTCATCGAATAAATCATCAAACCATGGCACCATGGGAGGGTGGGACAGGAAGAGGTTGTGAAGGGGAAGGTCAGGGGACTGGAATTGGTGCTGCGCTTAACCTCAACTGAGACAAATGAGTGACCAAGTTAGTAAGGGTTGAATGTCAATGGGCTGAGGCCTCCTGGGACTCAGGAACTGAATCAAACTCATAACAATGCAAAAACAGTGCCATACAGGAATCCCTCAGATAAGGAGCCTGGAGATGGGTCTGCGCCAAAACTGCATCATGGCCCAAGAGATCCCAACAACAAACAAACTATGTTTGAAGCACGAGAGCTGAAGACAAGAGAGGAGCCAACGTAGAAGTAAGGATGAAGAGGATTTCAGCAGAAAACCCCATCAGGAGGTGAAGGGAAGAAAAGTACATGAACAGGGTCATGAGGGTAAGACAAAGGCGAGAAAATGGGCTTGGGTAAGTTGGACAGGGCAGAGTGATCCTAAGTCTGTGGGGGACGAGCCATACTAACGTCCTCCCTCAGTTGAGAGACAGTTTGATCCGCATGAACCTGAACTGAGAGACTAAATAGGGTCAGAAAGTTTCATGTAAGAGGGAAGGTCTAGGGCCATAGGAAGCAGATGTAAGAGACAAAACATCATGTACCTGAGAAATAATGTCTGAAAAGATCGATGATGGACGAGCTGAACGGGAAGGCACGGCAAACTCCGGGTGAGGAAACAAATGATTAAACTCATCAACAGCCTGGCCCAATCCAAAAGGCTCAGGAGGAAGTGGGGCAGAACAGGCAATAGAAGTTGGCTCATACACCACCAAATCTCCTGGCAAATGAGCAACAATGTATCCCCCAATGGGTTGCTCATGCCTGTGGCTGAAAATATGGAATCAGACACTGGCGAAGTACCCGAATTCAGAATTCATAAGTGGAAAACAATGCCAAGGAAAATTATGTTATCAAGGG